GCATGTCGTCCAACTGCACCAGCACCACGGCGGTGGCGGTGGCGCCACTCAGCGCCAGCAAGACCAAGACCAAGAAGAAGCATTTTGTGTGCCAGAAAGTGAAGCTATTCCGGGCCAGCGAGCCGATCCTCAGCGTCCTGATGTGGGGGGTGAACCACACGGTAACCAGCTCCCCCGCGCGCTCCCACGCCCCCTGCCGCCCCGGCCTCCGCCCCGCGAGCCCTGCCAGTGACGCCTGCAACCCCTCTCCAAGCCACTTGCACGCCCACCCCACCCTTGCACGCCGTCCCGGCCGGGTGTGCACTCCCCGCGCGCCACGCGAGGCCTGGCGTCTCCGTGGTATTCCGTCGCCGCCTCCCCTTTCCTCCAGCCCCTCTGGCTTCCTGCGTCTGGTATGCTCGCTTCAGGCCGCCCCTGAAGCGCAGAGGGAAGGCCTGGGTGCGGTGGAATCTCCTTCATCCCCTCTCCCTCTCTTCTCATCTCACCCTGTTTGTTACATGTGTTTTTTCCCTTGTTCCTTATAACCCACTGCCAGCTCACTGTCCAGTTGACAAGGCAAGTGGCATTGGCCTGCTTGATGTCCTTTTATTTCTGGTCGTTTGGTTGGTGTGACTGCTCAGAGTTTCCCATTCTCCAGACCTCCTTACTCCTGACTGTGGGAATCCTTCCTGGGTTTCCTTTTTTTCTACTTGAACAAGATGTAGCAACTGGAGAAGCACAGGCTTCCCTGAACCACAGGCACTTTACCAGGGTCTTCCTGGGTTAGGGAGAAGAGAGAATGTAACCATTTGAGAGAAGATGAGGCCTAATTATAAGGACTATTCATAGAAATAGTGTCTTCCTGCATTTTCCTAAGGTGTTCATGTAAAAGATTTTGACTTCTCATTTATTTAGCTTTCTATTGTATGGTCGTGAAGGGTGTGGTAATGGATGGTGGTTAGGATGAGAGAGAGGTCCCCTGCATCTTTGGGGTGCTTTGAGATTATCCAACAGTCCCTGTGAAGAAGTTGGAGCTCAGACCCATATTTGAGCTGGAGGACTTTGTTTATGTCCTGTTTGTTTAGGGGCTTTCTTCCTCTTCCTTCCACTTACTTGCCCCTTGCATTCTGGCCATCTCATTGTGAGTCCTTACATCAGGAACGAGCAGGAGAAGGACCTGAAACAACCAACTTCACCAATTAAAAGTTTAGAATGAGGAAGATGAAGCTAATGGCTTGGATTTCCTGTGGATTTCTGTTCTTTAGTCCCCCTGACTTTTCTGAGCACTTGAAATTGCCCATAAGACCAAAAGGTGACAGAGGGCCCTGGGGCCAGCAAGACTTTGCTTTGGATTGGTAGAGGAACCTTTGATTGGAGATTGATAAACCATAGTCTGAGCCAAGATTTTAGATCTTTATATCTAATAAGAAAAACACTTATGTATAGTGAAGTCTTTGTTGTTGTTTTTTAGTCTTGGGCAGTTTACTGTTTTCAGCACTGAGGTGAGGTCCTGGCCAGGGTAGGGAGTACCACTGGTTTAATGCCCAGACCTCCGGGAGCTGCTTCTAGCTAATAGTCCAGCAGAGTTTGTTTCTCCTGCTTCATGCTGCCTCAGGGGTCATTTGACAACATTGCAAGGGAAACTGGGTCATCAAAATGTGAGCCCTGTGTCTGCCTAGAAGTCAGTCCTTGGTTTTGTTCTGCCTGCTTCTCACTAGAAAGCATCCTGTCTGTGCGGAGAACTGGTAGAGATCCAAGAGTCAGGAATATTATAGCTAGCCAGAGGGGACCTTTGGTCCATTAATTTATACATAAAGAAATGGAGGCTCTGGGTGGAGGATTAACTGGCTTATGGTCCCACCAAAAGATGCAGCTCATTGTCCAGCACTGTTTGCTGTGCTGGCCCATGGTGGCGCTTGAGGAGCAGGTCTAATTTGCTTTGCCTCCCATTCCTTGTCCTATCTCTCAACCAACTGTCAGCACAGTTGGGAATTATAGTCTTGTTAGAGAACCTGAATGTATGCTCAAGTGTGTGTGCCTGCGCATGCCAGCCCATGGGAGTGTGTGTGGTACTTGGTTTTCTGATAGGCAGGTAATCAGTGTGCTCAAATAGGGGCATCAGGTGGAAGCCTCTGAATGACGAATGGATATGTATCTGTGATGCCTACTCTGTTGGACTCAGCAGTCACCCTTTGCTAACTTTAAGAAAGTTTATTTGAGGGGTAGCCAGAAAGGCATTGACTGTAAGCAAGAACCATGCCTCTGGGCATAATGTGCAAGCACCTCAAGGGAAATGCTCTAGGCACCACTGCCCTGGGCAGGCTGAGCTTCAGAGGTAAATTAGTCTCAAGTTTTGTTGCTTCAACTCAACCTGAAATAAGTCTAGTACTTAAAGGACCCCATTTGGGAAATGGAGACATTCCCCCAAAAGAAGAGTGTAAAATCTTGCAATTCTTTAGGGGATCAGGACCACATTGTTCTTAGTGGTTTGCTAACCTTTCTTGGAGATTACCTTACTTCAGAAGCCCGCTGTTGCAGTGTTTTGCCATCTAAAGTTTCAGATATCACCTTTCCTTTGATTCTTTAGTTTCTCACCTATTTAGGCTTTTAGGCCATGATGGTCTATGGCTAATGGTGTATGAGATGTGAAGGATGGATATATCTTTATCTGTAGTAAAATTAGTTACTCTCATGAAGTAGTTGATTTACTTCTAGGTGGGAAAAGAAAGGCTTTTAAGTTCAGTGTTGTCACATGAGCTGCTCTCATGGACAAGGATGCAGCCCATGGACTTGGTGGAGGAAGACTGTGTAGGAAACAGGGAGAAAAATCAGAAGACTTTGGATCTGTCAGGGGAGAACTAATAAAGAGAAGGTGGTATTTTAATGGGTGAAATATAGTTCAAAGGGTCTGGAGTTAGGGAAGAGATAGCCTTTGAGAGGGGCGTGGAGACCAGAAGAGATAGACCTGGCTTGATAATCTGTTGGCCAGGTATGTGTGAAGTCTCACCCAAGTGATCAGAAGGAATAGGAGCAATTGGTGGTAACTGTGTTTAACCATTTGGGAAGCTTGTCAGCCTTGTTCTTCAAAGTGGCTGCACCATTTTACATTTCTATCAGTAGTGGGGGGGGGGGAGGTGTTCCAGTTTCTCCATATCCTTGCCAACACTTGTTATTGTCTGTCTTTTTTTATTATAGCCATCCTAGTAGATGTGAAATGTTATCTCATTGTGATTTCCATTTGTGTTTCCTTTGTAACTAGTGAAGTTGAGCATCTTTTCATGTGCTTATTGGCCATATTTGTATTTTCATTGGAGTAATGTCTATTAAGATCCTTTGCAATAAAAAAGATCCTTTCCCCATTTAAAAAAAACGTTTTGCATCTTTTAATTGGGTTATCTTTTTGAGTTGTAAGAGTATTTGATATATTCTAGATACAAGTTCCTTATCAGATACATGATTTGCAAATATTTTATCCCATTCTTTGGGTTATCTGTTTCACTTTTTTGATGTTTTCTTTTGAAGCGCAAGTTTTTAATTTTTATAAAATCTAACTTATCTATTTTCTTTGGTTGGTTGTGCTTTTGGTGTCATATCTAAGAAGGCTTTGCCTAACACAAGATCCTGAAGATTTTTTCTTACATTTTCTTCAAAGAAAAACTTTTATAGTTTTGGCTATTACATTTAGGTTTGTAATCCCTTTTGTGTTAATTTTTGTGTATGGTGTGTGAGAACCAGATTCATTTTTAAGACCATTCAGTTCTCTCCCACATTTCACCCCCTTTCTGTCCATGCATTTTCTTTGCTTAATGCAGACCCAGAACCTCCTTTACCCGCCTATTTCTCTTGCCCTGTTTCTTTAAAAATCTTTAGTAAATATTTCTGCTCTAGTGAGACCTTTGTATGAATTTGTGCTTTAGCAGGCCTTCCCACCTCATAGAGAACAGTGGGACTCAATAGGAGGAGGAGAAAAGCCAAGGAATAAAAAGGAGGAATAAACTCGGAGGTGAATTTCTTGCCTTTCCATCTCTGGAGTTTTAGGTCTTGCGGGGGCTTCTTGGTCTTGAGAGTGTGGTTCCCAGTATGTCATATTTTCTGATGGTGGCAGGTAACAAATGATTGTCAGTGTTGGCCAGCCCATTGCTGAGTCACCCACGGAACCCTGGGACATGTCAGGAAGCCTGTATACCCAGCCCACGCCTCCTGGGTAACAGTTCCAATGAAGGTCACACAGGGAAGTGGAGGTTTCTGGAATCAGAAATTCACCAGACTGGAACTGGTGATTGAATTTTCATCTCCAGTAGGATCAGCATAGAGTGAACTCTCTGCTTTTAAGTTGTTCCTCATTCAGCTTGGTTGACCTCCTCATTATTTATGCTAATGGTTCATGGAGTTAATCGCGTGGATAATCCAAAAACCACTTCTGTGATGTGAGATACAACAAGCTTACCATCCTAATACTTGTATTTAGTGTGAAGCTCGAATGAGGTAGCATTTTACAAGTGCACTTCTGTTGAAGGTGAAAGAAATGTGATAGATAGTGAAGGAAAGGCACATCTTCCTGAAACATTAATTTAGTCATGACCTTTTATGCTTCAAAACCTTTAGTCACTCCCCTTTGTCTACCAGATAGGGTTTTTCCTCCTTTCCCTGGCATTTAAGATTCTTTACAGTCTGGTCATAGCCTCAATAACTAATGTTAATCTGCTTTCCCATCCTCCAGACCATGACTCTTTGGCATGGTCACACCAGCTTTGCTGTATCTTTTTGTCTTTATCCTAATGTTAGCCATGCTTCAGTCCCCTTTTTCTAGGCATCCATCCCTCCACCAACATCTGTTGTATAACCACTGTGTGTCAGTTGTGCTAGGGACAAAATAATGGATAAGATAGTCTCTTCCTTTGTAGGGGCTCACAGCCTAGTGGAGAAATTAAACATGTAAACAAATAATTACCCAAGCGAATGTGATACTTAGAATATAAAGATGCACAAAGGAATGAGTAATTAAATCAACTTGGGGAAGACAAGGAAGCACTTACAGAGCAAGTGTCATTTAGCCCTTTATTTGTTCTTCTATTCTAGCTGCTACGGTCTATCACCTGAACTATTGTAATGGCCCCGTAAATGGTCTTACTGCTTATTATCTTTGCCCTTTCCAGTCCTTACTTGATTTTTTAAAAAATCCTTACTTGATTTCGATTCCAGAATTACCTTTCTGTATCACCCATCTGATTGTGTGACTTCCCAGACTTGAACCCGAGAGGACTTTCCATTGTCTGCATAGAGGAGTCCAAATTGATCATCTAGTGGACAAACTTAAGTTCACATCCAGGCTCTGCCCCTTGTTATTAGTATAGCTTTTGAGCAGTAATTTTTCTCTCTTGGGTTTCCTTTTCCTTTTCTATAAGATGAGCACAACACTTTCCCTGAAGATTTTTAGGATAGAGGCAAGGAAAGGAAGAGACTACCTTAGTCATGGTAGCTGTCCATAAAAAGAATTGCACAGCATGGTATAAAGAGCCCAGGTTTTGGCACCAGACAGGCCTGGGAGCAAATCCTGACTCTGCACATATTATCTGTGTGACCTTGAGCAAGGTACCCTGAATCTCTTTTGCAAAATCAAATTAATAATACCTTATGTGACTATTAAGTATAGACATAATAGCAGAGAACAGAATGTGTGTGATATTATGATATATATGATATATATAATAATATAAAGCACTGGCCACTTACAGGCATTCAGTAAATAGAAGCAGCTATTATTTATTAATTCATAATATGCTAGACTATTCACCCATCTTTCCTGTATTATCTCCACTTCTTTTTTCTTTAATTTTATTTTTCAATTACAGTTTATATTCAATATTATTTTGTATTAGTTTCAGGTGTGCAGCATAGTGGTTAGACAATCATATACTTTACAAAGCGGTCCCCCCAATATTTCAAGTACCCACCTGGCCCCATACATAGTTATTACAATATTATTGACTCTATTCCCTATGGTATTTTACATCTCCATGTCTATTTTGTAACTACCAATTTGTAGTCCCTCCACTTCTTAGTACCTCTATCCTACCCTGCCCCCCTACAGACTCCCCTCCCCCAGTACCTAAAATGGGCAATATGCTTTCACAAGTCTTGGTTCTGACTGTTCTCATTGCCTGGGATTCCCTTCCTCTCATTTTTATGAGAACTACCATTCTAGACATTTCTCTGCGACTTCCTCTAGCAATCAGCTCTCTCACTCCTACTCACAGTCAGAATCAATCATTTCTTAGTCTGTTTTTCCATCTCCCTTTATTTATAACTATAGCACTCATCACATTGTGTTAGTTATTTGTTGTCTGTCTTCCCAGCTAAACAGAGTCATGTCTTTTCACTTTTTGTGTCTCCAGCTTCTGGCAAAAGTACTGACATATAGTAAGGCCCTCAATACATTGAGTAGAAGTAAACTGAATAGAAGTTTAGCAGAGTCTAAGCCAGATCAGGAAAGGCCTTAAATGCAAGGGTAAGGAGTTAAAACTACTCCTTAGTTGATGAGGAACCATAGAAGATTTTTAAGCAGGGTGTAACATGATCTTGTAGGTTCTTCCAGTGTCAAGTGCTCTTGGCAATAGCAGGAGGAGCGCTAGGTCCCCTGTTTCTAGCCTGATGTGTGAGGCTGGGACTCTGACTCTCTGACCATACTAACCTCATCCTCCTCTGAACATCAGCCGTTCTTGATGCCTGTCCCTTTGCTCTCACTAACTTGTATACTACTTAACTTCTAGTTTCATTGTATCATGGGTTTGTCTCATCTCCCTGATAAGAAGATAAGCCTCCTGCTTTTGTGTGCACAGTGTTTCCTTCACTGCACACCCCCTCCTCCCTAATGTGAAAAGAAGTCTGTAGTAGGTATTTCAGTAAGTGTTGTTCAGTTGAAATTGAATAGGACTCTCTGGGGATATAAAATTTAGCACAACTAAAAAAGAAAAGGTACAGCTAATCCCTAGAGTGAATCATGTACATGTGGTCCAGTGGAAATGAGGGGTAGGTCTACGTAGTTCAGATGTATGGATTGTTTACCAATATATTATCTTAGTTAGGAATTTCCTGCTAGTAGGTAGGTCAAGAATAGAGATGAAGTGAGAGCTAAAAACTGACCAGCTTAACAACCATTCAAGTTATGCTGCACTAAGAGTTACACAGAAGATTAAAGAACAGAGCATTCCTGAAGAGCTCCTGTTAGAATATTTCATGGGGCAGTTGACCCCTCTCTAGCAAATGTTTTAGTCTTTTCTAGTTTTCCAGTATCAAGTCCTGGCCTTGGCACCGAGCTTGGATAGTAGACTAATGCAGAATCAATTAGTACATACCAGAACGTTTTGGTGTAAAACTATACTCTTTGAGCCAGTGGTACGTTCTTTCTAGCATGATGATGTGAGCTAGAAAAGGCAGAATTGCATAAGAGCTATGAACTTCTTTAACTCTCAGAGCCAAGCTTAATATGCCAGGAAAAAGGAAGTGGGACAGCTACCATGAATTGTTTCTGTTGGCAGAAAAGCAAGGAAGTGGAATGATTTCCTCTGTAGGCACACACTTAACAATCAGGTTCCCTTGTGAGTACCCCTTGGAACTGGCATGGCTTTTTTTTTGTATGTGTGGCCCTTCAGCCAATGGCAGGCATTGCAGACCTGGATGCTAGAAATTTTAAGTGTAAAGTTTGATGAATTTTCACAAATGTATATCTACCCATGTAATCATCACTCCAAACAACATACAGAATATTTCTATCAACCTAGAATCACAACTCTCATTGTTCCTTTTCAGTCAGCTCCCTCCCAACCCAACCCAGGCAACCTCTTATTTGGGTTTCTCTCACTATAGATTCCTGATGTAGAATTTCATATAAATGGAGTCATACAGCATATACTCTTGTATCTCTGCCAGTCAGTTTTACCCAGAAATTTATTGAGTCTCTGCCCCACTGCCAATTACTACTACTACCCTACTGTCCCTCCTCCCCATATTCCTGTGCCTTTCTTAATTTCCTCATGTGTCAGTTGGATTTTTCACCAATTCCAGAAAGGTATCATTTCCCAGCCCAGTTACTGCATTAACTTGAATTTCTTCCATCTTCAGATATTTCTAAATAAAAATTGTTTGGAACATAAAAGGGGCAGTAAATTAAATGCCATTTCCCCCCATTTAAGCTTCTGGAGGAGTCTTAATGACTCGAGGTTATTCCCTCACTGCCACATGGGGCCTCATTGAGATAATAGGATTTGCAAGGAAAGTATCTGGGAGACCCAAGGCTATGCTCTCCCTCCCCCCTATCCATTAAGTCAGTCCTGAGGTTTCCTCTGTAAATCCTGAATGCATTAGTGGTAGCTGGGTTGAGGGTCAAATGTCAAATACTCTGCTGTGATGAGAGAGGACATCTGTGGCTAGTTAGCCCACTAATTGGCAAAACTGGGAGTGGGGAAGTGCAGGATTTGCCCTCTCAGTTCTGCACCAGTGGAAAGCTAGCTCCCTGTCCAGGCTGCAGCTCCCTGAAGGGGGATGAAAGACAATGAGAAGGTATTTTTGCAGTGGGAGCAAAGCACCCTACCCCATCTCCCCCAGGTCAACACAGCTTTAGGAACTGGCCTTTCTTTAATCAGGAGAGTAAGAGTGAGCCAATGGCCCGGTGGGGCGTGGCTCAGCGGTTGAGCATCGACCTAGGATCCAGGCAATTGGGGTTCGATTCCTGGTCAGGGCACATGCCCGGGTTGCAGGCTAGGCAGCTGATCAATGACTCTCTCATCATTGATGTTTCTATCTCTCTCCCCCTCCTTTCCTCTCTCTGAAATCAATAAAGATATAATTAAAAAAAAAAAAAAAAG